CACTGCTAATGCCAACCATTAACATTAGCATACCTGTCCAAGGTAGTTTAACATCTAATATCTTATGGTCGAACTAGGCATGGGATTCACGTATTCCTGTTGTCCTCCTCCTGCTTTGGGTGGCTAGCTTCTAAAGGGAAGACTGTCCACTCAGTTATCCGGTGTAGCCTTGTGGTTAGGATCACAATTTCAGCCAGACACAATTTCCATATGTTCTCAAGCTAATCCTATATGCACACAGTACAGTGTGGCAAGCAGAAGGGTCATTTATTTCTCATTCAGTTGCCCAGGTCAGAAAACCCTGGGGTTATTCTTTTTTTTTCCTTCTTTTCCAGCCATGCCTTGCGGCTCTCAGAGATCTTACCTCCCCGACCAGGGATTGAACCCAGGGCCACAGCAGTGAAGGCGCCAAATCCTAACCACTGGACCACCAGGGAAGCCCTGGAGTCATTCTTGACTCTTCCCCCTTGTACTGCATCCAACCATCAGCAAGTTGTTAACTCCATCTTCAAAACATACCTAGAATCTGACCATTTCTCACCTCCACTGTTTCTAACCTACTCTAAGCCATGTGGATATGGCTACAGCATGCTAATAGGTCCTTCTGTTTCTGCTGTGGTCCCCCCAGTGGTCTATCCTCCGTACAACAGCCAGAGTGGTCCTTTGTAGGTCTTACAAAGTCCCAGGGGATCTGGCTTCCTTCTTGCTCTGTGCCTTGTTTCTCACTATGGCTCTTCCTTTCATTCACATCAGTCTAGGCACATTGGCTTCTTTGTTCCGTGAACACACTAAGCATACTTCTGCCTCAGGGCCTTTGCACTTGCTTTTTCCTCTGCCCAGAATGCCTTAACCCCAGTCTGCTTAAGAGTCACCTTATCAATGAGGCCATCCCTAGTCACCCAAACAAGCAACTACCACCTCCCAGCTGCTTGCCTGGCCCTCTACCCAACTTCCAACCTGCTTTTTCTCTCGGTGTATCACTATATCTCCAGAGCCAGAAACAGTGCCTGACACAGTAGGCATTCAATAAATATTTGTTGAATGGATGTGAATATAAAACAAACTGAAAAGCTGGTTTTTAAAACCATGTTCCTGAGTCATTTTTCAATCTCACTTTGATCTGGTGTCCACTATACAACTCAGTCTCTCTACCTAGGGCAACTTAGTGCTAATTGGCAGGGTTTATCTCTCTCCCCCCCCCCACCCCGAATACACATGCACATACACATACACAAATCACACCCATTCACGTTGGCTCAGGCTGGAATCCAGTCTCCCCTAACTCCATCATCGCCCCATCCTCACTCTGCTCCAATAGTCAACTGCCCTGGGATTGCTCCAGATGCGTGAGCTCACATCTAACAAGGGCCCCTTTTCTGTCCCAGCTCTACTCTCTCAAGGACTTCCTGACTTTGGCTCCATCAGATAAAGCAGTGAAGAGAAACCACTGTTTCTCTTCCTTCCCAACAATGCTTATCCCCTTTTGAGCTCAGCCTCACCCCTGGCAGGGCCCACCCTCTCCCCTACATCTTATCATCTACAGGAAACTCTGATGACTGAGGAATTTCTGTTCATCAGAATTCACTGGACAGAGACGTGAGAAAGGAAGGAAGGAGGGACAGAGGGAAGGAAGGAAGGAAGGAAGGAAGGAAGAAGGGGGAGGGAGGGGGACGGAAGGGATGGGAAGGTGACGAAGAAGGAAGACAGACACAAACTGTGTCTGGGTGACAGAAAGTTTACTTGTAAAATTACATTCCTTCAATTCCTGGAGTGGACGGCTGCCTATATGGTCCACCGCTGGGCACTCTGAAAATGAGCTCTGCATCTCCTCCTTCATCCCCATCTGTTCAAGGATCTCTTTTTAAAAAAAAAATTATTTATTTTGGGTGCACTGGGTCTTCGATGCTGCACGCGGGTTTCTCTAGTTGTGGCGAGCGGGGGCTACTCTTCCTTGTGGTGAGCGGGCTTCTCATTGCGGTGGCTTCTGTTGCGGAGCACGGGCTCTAGACGTGCGGGCTCCAGTAGCTGTTGCACGCGGGCTCAGTAGTTATGGCATGTGGGCTCAGTAGTTGTGGCTCACGGGGCTCTAGAGCACAGGCTCAATAGTTGTGGCACGTGGGCTTAGTTGTTCCGCGGCATGTGGGATCTTCTCGGACCAGGGCTCGAACCCGTGTCCCCTGCATTGGCAGGCAGATTCTTAACCACTGCGCCACCAGGGAAGTCCCAAGGATCTCTTTTTAACCTGAGACAAAGCCCAGGTCATAGTTAGATGCTAAACTGTAATTTGTAAATATTCCTAGGAGAGGTAATTGATTTAAAATCATGCAAAGGTAAAAATGACTGATAAACCAGATTTTTTTAAAAAATTTCATTTTCTTGGCCACACAGTGCGGCATGCGGGATCTTAGTTCCCTGACAAGAGATCAAACCCGTGCCCCCTGCAGTGGAAGTGCAAAGTCTTAACCACTGGACCACCAGGGAAGTCCCTGATATCAGATTCTTAAGTCTTGGAAGGAAGACGAGAAAGAGCTCTAGACACGTAAAGGCAGTAGGTAGAGGATACAAGGTAATGGAAAAAGACCAAAGGAGGAGGCTAGAAGCTAAGCTGCATCTCCTATGCATCTCTGCGGAAGGCTGGACGTGAAATGAGGAGGGAGAGGCTGGAAGGTAAGGCCCACTCTTCCTTAAGTCTGGGCTGCAGAACTCTCCTGGGACAATTCTTGATCACATGTCAAAATGCTTTTGTTTGGGAGCAAGAGGAAAAGGGGCACTTGCATGGCGGGGCATGTTTAGAGATAGAGCATCTGGAAGATAAAAGATTTTACTAAGTCTCTTCCCCAGAAATATCAATGGAAAATACATTTTCTTTTTTTTCTGTCTTTGGCTTTAACTTTGCCAGTCTGCCAGCTTCTAATTTCTCTCTGTTCCCCTCTGTCTCCACTATTGTGTTTTTCCTCTTTAATAATGATCAAGTCCAAAGAAACCTGAGAAGCCCCGCTCCCACCACCTTCTCCTGAGTCACCAGGGACCCCCTTCACCTCCTTCCCCAGGGAAGTGCTGGGGATGGGAACGAGTCTCTCTCACAGGCCCACAGATGTCAGGCCCGCTAACGTGGCTAGCGGCCAGTGTAAAGAACCAGGAGAGCTGGAGTCTGGAGGGGTCCGGTCTAAAGTCCACCCCAGACAGTCCAAATCCCCTGACACCCAGGGGGAGGGCCCTTCTCTCCAGTTGGGCCAGATTTTATGCAAGACATTTAGTATGTCAAAGTGTCAGTCTTTGGCCTTCGAGTCGAGTCAGGTCTCCTGGGCCTGTCTGCAACTCTGCCCCTGGGTGAGCTTGGTTAATGGAGCGCTCCACCCCTTTCTTCTCCCAAACGTTAGACCCTTGACCTACCTACCTACTTGACTCGAGGCAAGAAAAGATCAGTGCGGACTGGGAGCTCCAGACGATACAGGAGTTAGAGAAAGCGGAGACTGGCATTAAACGAAAAGGTTTCAGAACTAGGGCCTCTCCCCAGTGTGACCCTTCACAGCAGGGTAACTGAGGGGGGGGTCCGGGAGCCTCGCCAATGCCAGTTCCCAAGGGGCTGCACTTCTAGCCTGGCCGAAGAGCGCCATCTGGCGGCCTGTCCCCAACCTGGATTCTTTTTGCCCCAGCCCGAGTTCTCGAAGCCAGAGGAAGACCTGGGCAGAACCGTCACCTCCTCTCCTACGTCATTCCGAGGGCCCCGCCCCTGCCTGGAACGCGCCTCCTCTCGAGGGGACTGTCCCTAGCGCCTCCCCCGTAGAACTGCCGCCCTTCCTCCCTCTTGGGATGAAAGCTTCCCGGGTAGAAATCTGCTTATTGCTCCCCCAGGGATCCGCCCCACCTCGTGGGGCCCGTGAGGAGCCTGCCCTCCCCCCATGGGAATCTGCCTGCGTCCTCTTCCGTCTTCCTCCCCTCGCGGCGATGGACTCCTCTGCTCCTCCCCCACACCCTTACAGGGAGCCTCCTCCAGTCCACAGGACCCAAATCCAGGTTACTAACGAGGCCTCCCCTCCCCTGGTCCCGGAAGACTCCGCGAGTCCCTGCTCCGCGGCCCGGGAGCCAGCTGCGCGCGCGCGCGCGCGCGCTCGCGCTCCCGCCGCAAGCCCGCTCGTGGGCGGAGCCCCGCAGGCCCAAGGGGGGCGGGCGGGCTGTCCCATCGTGACGTCACTTCCGCCCGGGCCTGGCCGGGGCTCGGGCTCAGTGGGCCGAGGAGGGGCACAGAGGTGGCAGCTGTGCGAGGAGACTGATCGGGAGGCCGAGCAGCTCACGCCCGGACCAATCCCGCGTCCCGGGCCGCAAGCCCCGATCCTGCCACGCACCGAGAGGCGAGACCGGCCGGATGGGCCGCTGAGTCCGAATCGGGGACCGGTGAGGCTCGAGCGGAGCGGGCAGCCGGTCCGGGGTGGGAGCGGCCCGTGGGGCTGCAGGGTCCCCGGGAGCCTGGGTTGCGGGTAGGGGAGCGGGTCAGGCCTGCCTCCTGCTCGCCCGGCAGGGAGGCAGGGTCTGGGGGCTTGCCGCCGCCAGGCGCGGAGGGGACGGTGAGGCCCGCCCGGGGGAGGCCTGGCGGCGGCCGAGTGTGAGGAGGGGGCGGGGTGGGGGTCATTAATGCGGGCGGAGGGCCGGCACTTGGCATTCGCCTGCGGAAAGGTGGCGTCGGGAGAAGGGGAGTATGCTTCTGGCCAGGGCTTTGGGAAGAGGATGGCTCTGAGTGGGGGAGGCAGAAAACAGGCTTGGAAAAATTTTCCATGGTCCTCCTTCGGGGAGAGGTTTGAAGAGCTGTGCTTTCCCTAGAGGGTGATGTTGAACACCTGCAGAAGGGTCTCCCTGGAGTTTGGGGGGCCAGTTCCAGTATTTGGAAAAGGACCATGCTCTGAGAGTCCCTGCCCTGAGCGGGTGTGCGAAAAGCCTGGCCGCCTCCAACATTTGAGCCTCCACATCTTCACAGTGTGGAGCCTCCTGGAGCTAAAATCAGGATGTTCCGCTTCATGAGGGACGTGGAGCCTGAGGACCCCATGTTCCTGATGTGAGTATCCCCTCCCCCTTCTGCTCTAGAGCACGCATCCGCTCCACTTCAGGTCTCTGACTAGTTGAGCCAGACATCTGGGCTCGTCGCGGGCACTGATCACAACTTGGTGGCCACTCAGCCCCAGCTCAGACTTCGAGGGGAAATCTGTGCCACTGGTTCCCTATGGCTCTTTTCTCTGGGGGAGGGGCGGGTGGGAGGTACTGACTGCTGGCCCTTCTGCCACCCGCACCATATACTCCCTGCACAGGGACCCCTTTGCCATTCACCGTCAGCACATGAACCGGATGTTGTCGGGCGGCTTTGGATACAGCCCCTTCCTCAGCATCACAGATGGCAACATGCCAGGGACCAGGCCTGCCAGCCGCAGGATGCAGGTAGTGGTGCTGCAACAGACCTGAGACCCGAAAAAAGGTTGGAGCGTGGTCAGTAAAGTGCTTGATTTTTCTTGCACAACGGCCAACTTAGCAAGTGGGATGCCTTCTAGGAGTGGGGAAAGGGGTCTGGAAAAACAGGCTTTGTGATCCCCTTTTGAGAGGAGGATGGAAAAGCAACAGAGGCCATGGGCTTGGTTTGGGATGGTAATGAGATAGGATGTGGTCCCTAATTTCTGTTCCTTACGTCTTCCTGTAGGCTGGGGCTGTCTCCCCCTTCGGGATGCTGGGAATGGTGAGTCCTCGTCTCCTTGCGTCCTTCCATCTCAGACATGCTCTATACCCTTAGATATTATTTCCAAATATGCCTCTTTGGATAGCCTTATGGGTAACCCTAGAATCCTCGTGTAGTGTTCACAGAGCTCTGGGCCTGCTGTGTGCTGAGTCCTGTGAGTTCACGATGCTAACTTACTGGCTCCTGTACTTCTAGGAGTGGTACCCATTAGGGAGATATAATTGCCTGATATAATTGTTCCTTTGAGGAAGGAAGTGCTGTTGAAAGGCCAACTAGAGATGGCTTGTGGCTTCTGCAGTTTCAGAACCAACCCCTTATAGGTTAGAATCCAGTGACGTTGGTTTGCTTCCTAAAGGTAGGAGGAAATAGGGCAGCCAGGAGAAGGAACATGGGATCGGAGCAGCCGCAGAGACTGAGGAGGAGGAGGGCAGCGGCATACAGGAGGAGAAGCGTGGAGAGAAGCGCGCCTGGCCTGGTCCTGTTCACGAGGAATGAGGAAGAGCAGCTGCTAGATGTGAAGGACAGGGAGAGAGGGAACGTGTAGCTATGTAGCCTGTGGGAGCCTGAGCGCGCCCACCTCTGATCGTGGCCCTGCTTTCTGACTCTGTTTTCCATCTCTTTGCTCCAGTCGGGCGGCTTCATGGACATGTTTGGGATGATGAACGACATGATAGGGAACATGGTGAGACTCTTGCCCTATCCCATCCCCTTCCCTGGCCCTGTTCCCAGTGATGGCTGGCAACACCTTGAGTCCCCAGAGGCGGGAGTGGGGAAGGGCGTACTTGTGGAGTGTGCAAGCTGGATAAGGCCACTGGGCCCTGAGAGTGCGGGTTCCTGAGTGGGAAGCAGCAGTGCACCTTATGAAGTATGCACTTAAGGCTCCATCTCTTCAGGCCCTTCTGGCGTATTGTTGGACTCAGAGGAATTTGGGGGGTAATGATGAGTCCTGATGTTTTCCTGGTTCTCACGTTTTGTGAGAAAGATATGGGCAGGCACAGGCGGCTGAAGGGAGGGATCCCTTCTCCGGAGGCGAACCCCTCCCCACACAGCCCTGCTGTTCCCTTCCCTCCTCAGGAGCACATGACAGCTGGAGGTAATTGCCAGACCTTTTCATCCTCCACTGTCATCTCCTACTCCAATACGGGCGCTGGCGCGCCCAAGGTCTACCAAGAGACAGCAGAGATGCGCTCGGCCCCAGGCGGGGTGAGTTGGAGGGCTCCTCCTGTCCCAGAGGAGGCATGATCGGATGGCCCCCACAGAAATCCTGGCTGCTTTTTTCAGGATTGGGTCCCGGGCGGCCTTTCTGGGCTGGTGTAGCCGGGCTTTGGAAGGAGCCGCTGAGTGTGCCATGCTCTGCCTCCCCCCAGATCCGGGAGACTCGGAGGACTGTACGGGACTCGGACAGTGGGCTGGAGCAGATGTCCATTGGGCATCACATCCGAGACCGGGCTCACATCCTGCAGCGCTCCCGAAACCACCGCACGGGGGACCAGGAGGAGCGGCAGGACTATATCAACCTGGATGAGAGTGAGCCTTCCTTCCCGCCGTGCCGCTTCCCGCCGGCCCGCTTCCCGGCCGCCGGCAGCCCCTGCCCTGGTCCCGTGAGCCGGGAGATAGCAGCTCTCTCTCCCTATCTCCGTAGATATTTCTTGGGCAAGGTTATGGATGAGTCCCATGTTCTTAACTTACTCGGAGTCTTTTTGTCAGCTTAAGGGCTAAGTCAGTGCCGGCAACGTCCTCACCGCACAAGGCAAACTTTGTCACCTAAGTCAGATACTGACAGTAATCTACCCGTCTCCGTCTGGATCCGTTGTTTTTTAGTTCTTCTTACTTACTTTTTTTGAAGTCAACAAATATTTATTAAATACTTACAGTGTGCGTGGGACTGAACTAAGTAACTAAGTAATCATCCCATCCCTGACTGCCTCCATGCTGCCAGGAGCCCTGATTGCCTCCATGCTTCCAGGAGCCATGTTGAATCCAAAATTGCTAAATAAGTCGCTTCCCTTCCCCAGCACATCCCCCCACACAGCCTTTCAGCCTTCGCCCTGGGTTTTGGTTGTGAGCTGCCCCGGGAAGCCAGGCGGTACACAGGTGTCGTGTGTGGTCTCCGTGTCCTCCCCAGGTGAGGCCGCCGCCTTTGATGATGAGTGGCGGAGGGAGACTTCCCGATACCGGCAGCAGCGCCCCCTGGAATTTCGGAGGCACGAGGCTTCAGGCGGTGGGGGGCGGAGGGCTGAGGGGCCTCCCCGCCTGGCCATCCAGGGACCCGAGGACTCCCCCTCTCGACAGTCCCGCCGCTATGACTGGTGAGGGCCCTGGGCCCTCGGCCTCTCGTGTAAGTACTGAGGGGGCTGAGGCCTCAGGCACGGGCGGGGGTGGAGAGCGTGTGGTGCCCAGCCCTCAGCCTGGAGGCAGAAGCAGCCCATGTGTCCAGCAAACACTGCCTTTGACAGTCGACGTTTTAGTCGGTACGGAAGGACAGAAGAGTGTCCTCACCGGAATGAGGGATGAGACACCAACCCTGGCTTTTATATTTTGTCTTCCTTTTGACCTGTGCTCATCTCTTTTCCCCCTCCAGGTACGGGCTGAGAGGCTGAGAAATCATCCCCTGAAATAACTTTTCCTCTTCAACTCCCACTCCCAATTTAATATTAACTTAACAGGCCAGCTGGCCCCCACGTCTCCCTGGGGGTCTCAGCGAGAGCCTTTCACTCCCTCTTACCTATGTTTTCCTTCTTTAATCTCCTTACCATGATGACTCCACTTCTTCTGTATCCACTAACTTGACTTTTCACTTTGCTGCCCCATCTCTGAAACTCCTTCCCTTCCCCGTTCTACCCCTGCCATGCATCGAAGGGGCTTTTGGGGTGGGCTCTGGGTTTAGGGGCCTCAGCGACCCTGGACCTTCGCCCACCTCCTCCCCAGATTCCCCGCTGCAGGGGCCACAGCCCTGGTCCAGGGCTGTGTGTGGAGGGAAGAACCGGTTCCCAGCCCAGTCTCCCTTCCCAGCCGCTACGCATCATAAAAATCTGCCCCACATCCTTCTCTGCCTTTATTTTTTGGTTTGTGCAGCTTGTAACTAGGTGTTTATGGAATAAAGGAGAATGGAGAAAAGACCAAATAGGATTCTGGCATTGCTTTTATTTTTTTTTAACTTATTTTACTGAAATGCCGTTGATCTACACAGTGCTGTGTCTGGCTTCACTTTTGCTCTTTTTCCTGTTCAGTTTCAACCCTCCTGTCTCCTTCTGGTCACCTTACCTTCCCTCTATCTCTGTGCGTGGCCTTCTTAACTCAAGTTCAAGCCCAGCACCTCAGTGGTACCGCAGTGGGACTGTCAGAGCTCTGGTGGGTGAGAAGCCGCAGCGGATGCGGCCAGGCTGGGCCGGGGGTGAGACCAGCGGCGGCTGTCCTGCCAGCTCCCTCGCTTTCACTGTACCTTCACTCATCGGGGGGATTACGGGGCATACCTGTAGGCACCTGAGGAGCTTTCTGCCCCTTGTCCTTGGGCTTCTTTCTGGCCTGCACTGTGGGCGGGAACACTTGGGGTGCAGAGCAGGAAGAAGCCCAGACAACCCCACGTGGGTCTTCAGAGGGGAGGAACTCGGGTCAGCAGCATTCTTCAAACCCTCCAGCCCCAGTTGTTGAGAACTTGAGCCCGGGGAAGGAGACCAGGGAAGAAAACTAGCCTGGAACCTGAGCAGCATTGGACGGGCACGAGGCACTCAAATTTCTCAAGATGCTCCTCCCTGCTCGACCCGGCTCAGCAAATGGGTCGCTCTGTTCCTCCTGGGGACTCTTCAGTGATGGCAAGTGTTGTGAGTCCGAGGGCGGTTTCTGCTTTATAAACATCTTCTGTCCTTGTCAGTTGGTAAATCAAAGGCAAAAGCAGCCCGCTCGAGGCCCCAGGTCCTCTCAGGGAAGGGGATTTTCCCCACGTCCTTGATGGACAAACAGATTCAAGAGGATTTGTCCATCCTGATGATGTAGAAGCCATAAGGAGCAGAATACAGAAATCAAAAAGGGTCTGAGTATAAGTTCATTTCTGGGACATTTGAAAAAACAGCCAGAGTTTCCAAGGGATAGATATTAACAGTCTTTGTAAACTATGACATCACACAAATGTTTATTTTTGAATTTTATATATATATATATATATATATATATATACACACACACATATGTCAATGTGTGTATCCATCTATTTATTTGTATTTATATATTTATGTTATTATTGTATATGCCTTACCATTTTGACTTGTGTATAAGGTCAGAAGTCTGGCTCCATGGCGCAGCCTGGGGGGTAAGCATCAATCTATAGCAACTCTGAATATTAAAGATGGTTATATGTTACGTTGATCAAGTCAGAAGCTACTTTTCTGAAAAAGGGACTGTTTGATTTGCCTTTAGACCAAATTGAAGAATTGACGTATTAGAGCAGCTCTAACTCATGTTATGCTGCAATGAATTAAAGATAAATTTAAATTAAAAAAAAAAAGAGGATTTGTCTAGTCGCTCAATAAGCAGAGACAAAGGTGAGTTTGGCAAGCAGGCACTGACGTCCTATCCAGGGCAGGTACTGAGTCTTAGTAAACAGGCCACTAACGGTGCCCCACAGGGTCAACGGAACCAACCCAGTGGCTAAGAGAATCCAGGAATCCCAGAAGTCAAACAGGCAGAGGGAATCCCTCTCCGCCTGGGTCCTGAACTGTGGATGCTGGAGCTCAAAGCGCCCACAGCCCTCAGCTTCCAGTGTAACCTGTGCTCTGTCCAGATTGCACATGGCTCCTCCCTCTGGGTGTGGGAGGAGCTGTTGTCAGTCCCTTGAGGAGGGGCTCAGCTGTGCCACCAGCTCAGTCATTTGTCCTTGGGCAGGTCCCTCCCTTCCCTGGACCTCAGCTGTGGGGTCCCTTCTCACGACAGCTCAAGCCCAACCTCTCAACCTGGATTCCATTCCCAGTGCCCATGCTCCTGGGCACAGTTCGGAGTAGGGGCTGGAGCAGGACAGGGGCTGCCCTGGTTTCAATCCAGGTGAGTCATCCAGTGCTTCACGGGCTTTCCCATTTGGGTCCTGGCTTCAGACACAGAAACCAACCAGTTTTCACCCCTGCTCCCTGCTCTAGGGCAAGGACCACCCTGCAACCCAGCACGTATTCGTAGGGCCCGTGACGGCATTTTTCAGCAAGGGTACGTGGTGGGGCACTGCGTGTTGAGTGAGACGCTCTAGAACTAGCCCCCTGGCCCTTTCCTGACCTGTCTACCATGTAGGGTGAGAGCCGGGGAGCAGACACAGGAAAGGACTCTCAGGAAGAATGCTGACACTTTACTTCCAGGTCCGCGTCCGGAATGGCCCCGCCTCATTCACAATGCCCATCCACAACCCCGCTCCCGCTCAGTCCTCTGCCTGACAGGTGTCCAGGGCACATGGCCACACTCACTTGGACTATTTCCCCCACCCCAGAAAATTACAGGTTGGGAGAGGCTGAAACTTGGTGGGAGGCTGTGAATTAGAGGAGTGAAAGTACGACGACAGACTGGTACAAGCAAGCCCGGGCCACGCCGCTTACCTCTGACCCTGACGAAGAGTCTTAATCTCTCAATGTCGGTTTCCTGCTTTGTAAAATGGGCCTTTTTCTAGGCTCTGGTGGCAGTGCGGACATGGATTCATACCTCAGAATTATGAGAACTAGGTGAGTTAGTACAGAGGAAGCATTTGACACAGTGCACAGGATGGATGTCTGATTTCGCCCCCGTTACCCTGCCCCTGTCCTGCACCTTCAGTGCTCTAGGGTGGCCCTCATGCCCGGTTCCATCCTCAGGACCCCTGAGATACCTTCAGACACAGCCTCGAAATGGTCTTACTGGCTTTGCATCAGCCTCCGTTCTCCCAGCTACCGACTATTATCTTTCACCCTTTCATGCTTCACAGACCAACATGTAGAAATGTTTGGGGCTGTGCTGACCCAGTCCTGCTTGCAGTTTGGGAGTTTTCCCTTCCTAGGGTAACAGGGCTTCAGCCCTTTACCCAATGCCTCCTTCCTCTGCCCAGTGCCCAAGTCCTATAAACAAGGTTACCCAGAGAACCAGGAGCTGATCCACAAGAAGAACCCAGGGTCTGGTCTCCCGGCCCCCATATTTCAAGTCCATTTAACTCCACAGACCTGTCCTGCCTCGATGCCCTGAGTTTTAGGAATGGGTCATTCCCACACTGAGGGAGAAGCAAGGGTCAAGGATTCCTTCTCCCAGGCCACTGCAATGGGTCGGGGTAAAGGAAGAGGTACCCCTAACCTCTCTCCCTCTTAGACATCAGTGGGTTCTTCAGACAGGAGAAGCGGGAGCCAGATGTGGCGGCACTAGGAGGGAGAGATGAAGACGGATAGGCACAGGAGGCACCAAGAGGTAAGAAACGAGCACGGAGAATGGGGCACAGGGAGAGACCTGGTGTAGCTGCTCCCCAAAGGAGCCTCCCAACTAGCTTCTATCCCCAGGGTGAGCTTGCGGGGGGCAGGGAGCTGGCGTGGCTTAAGGGAAGGGTACCTGAGGGGCCAGGGATGCAGAGGCTGGCAGAGCTGTGGTAAGAAGGTGGGCCTGAAGCCCCTCTCTGCAGAGAGTGTTGACGGGCTCTGAGCCTTCCCAGCCTCAGTGTCTGGCCTTAAACAGTATCTCCAGGGAGACAGGGAGAAGCAGGGAGTCCTTCCCCTTCTGGGCTCTGCTGCCCTCCCCACACACACACCCTGCCCCGCTCTGGACCATCCCTGAGAGGAGCTGGGTCAGCAGTCAGGGTTGCTTGAGCTTTTTCTCTGCCTTTTGTGATTCTTCTTCCCTGAAGACTTACCTTGAAGATGGGAATAGGGCGCTGCCCTGGTTTCTCCCAGCATCCATCCCACCCTCCTCTTCATCTCCTCCGTCACCTGCCACCTGGATGACTTGCAGGTTCTGAACAGTTATCCCCAAGATGTTAGTGTCCTCCAGCCGGGAGACCAACCAAGTGTCTGAGGGTCTGCAGCCAGGACATTTGGACACATGAAGCTGGAAGATGGGAGAGAAGCGGGCATGAGAAAGGGCCGCAGAGGTGGGATTGAGTCTCTAAAAGAAGGAGCAGAAATACCCTGGGAAAGGTCAAGGTGACACTGAGGTGGGAAATGGTCTGATGAAAGTAAACAAAGCTAGATTCTTAGAAAACCACTGGTGAGGGACTTCCCTGGTGGTCCAGTGGTTAAGACCGCGCTTCCACACGGGGGGCACAGGTTCGATCCCTGGTCAGGGAACTAAGATCCCGCATGCCCCACAGTACGCCATCCCCCCGCCCA